GATAAGTGTAGATGAAGCAGGTTAGTTTGCTTATCGTGACTTATTCAACAATAAATCAATTACAATACATAGTTTCCAGGGAACCGCGTGGAGGCCGACCTATATAATATTGTCGAATATACCCTATATAGCTAGCAATGGATTTGTTAATTCTTATTACTAGCAAGTCTTTCTCTACCCTTCCACCCTGCCTATGATATTATAACAATATAATAAACTACTTGTTCCTTACACTGTAATATTAGTACAAAGACATCGCTAATTTACACCTCGGCTCAGGTCGTTGTACTTCGAACTTTGTTTAAATCAGTCAGGATTGCTGCTGACCGCGAGAACGGATGAAGACTATCAAAGCATCCCATGTACGGTAAATGATAGAATATATTCTTCGTTGACGCTGGCAGGAACAATACCGTGAGTATATTTTAATAAAATGAAGACATTCTCCATAGGACCTCCGGTATTTGTTTACATAATTATTTTCCGATTGAAGTGTGGGTTTAATTGGTGTGGATGCATGACTCCTCAATAATGAAAAAGGATGAGGGGTAGCATGTGGATACATTACATAATATCTATGATTCTGTTCATATTTATAGGCAATTACTTTCGACTTTTCCTCTGGTGCATCGTCAGTATGTTAGCTATTTCAAAGCGTATAAAAATAGTAAATAATAACAAAAAAAAAACACAATAAGAAACTAGGTAGAAATAACATTTTTGCTTATTTAATATATTCACCTATTAAACAGTATACTTATTTAACAACTAATAAAATGCTTAAAATTATAAAATCGTACCTGTCACATTTCTCTAAGTAATATTAATCGTGGGAGGATTAGGGTTGCGCCTTCATTAACGTTATAAAAATAAACAAAATTGCCACTTTAATTACATTATGCGACTCTATTGAATTTTGGGTACTGCGACCTTGTCACACATGTGACGTCGAAAAGAGACGGGTGTACCGACGGAGAAAGTAAGGTTGCGAGAAACTGGGTTACTTTGTGTGTTTTCTATTTAAAGTGTGCCCGAAACTGGCATCAAATTATGGAGGCTTTAATGTGTTCACAGTGAACTGCGCTGAAATTGAGAGGGCTTCTAGTTTCAACAAAAGATATTATACATACTACATAAAATTAAATGCTGTCATAAATAAGATAAAGTAACAAAACAAGCGCAACTTAACATTGAACTTAAGTTTACCTGTTCTGGTCGATCAGGATAATTTAAAATTTTGGTAAAAAAAAACAAATCGACAATGTTATTTCTAAACAACTTAAAGAAAAATCAGGTTTTTAATTATATAAATTTTTTGTATATATATATATTTTGTACGATTCTTCCTCAATTCTGAGGCGATTTTAATAAATTTGTTTAAAAAATGTAGGATTTACTTTTGGGTCTTATATCAATATTGCTGCAATTAAATTCTCTTTATGCGATTCGTGTAGTGCCCAGTTATGGGACCTCAGTGGATTGTTAAAGATTAAATTAAATTTAATTCATTAGTTACCATAACTATGACGTTTAGGAAATAGGAATTACTAATAATGAAAAGTAAAGAGTCTATTACTAGTATAAGGGGGTACGGTCGGCCTCTACGCAGTTCCTCCTGAAATATATCGTAGTTAATTCCATAAATCCTCCACAATGAGCCAACTTAACTGACTTCAACTTCATCTTACTATTCTCCATTGGTGTCTCGCCAATGCAAACCAGTAGCACAGGTAAGGATACCATTATATTATCATCCGTTAAAAAACAAACTATGACGTCTATGAGTCGAGGTCTTCGCATCAAACTGTTAATTATTTGCTATTTTTTCTATGAGTGTACATTATAAAATAACTACGTATAATGTACCGTGAAGACATAATGGACACCTTATGTAGTTATACATATAAAAAATACCATGAATATCAATAACTATTATTAATTCATTTTTATTTTACCTACAATCTTTTTATATACATAAATAGATATTCTCGCGACTTAATTCGCGACTAATATGTATATTTTCTCATAAAATGAGATATATTTTTTTTATTTAAATAATTAAAATAACAAATATATACTATAAAAACCCCGCGCGGGGTTTAGCAGTCATTATCCAAACACGTTTTCTTGCATTTATTAGTCCATATATGAGTTAGGACTATACCAAATTTCATCATAATCTATCTAGTAGTTTTTTGCAAAATATTGTACTATAGATACGGTTTAGTTGCAATTTTATGATATTAATAATTATTAATAATTAATGATATTAATATAATAATACAATACTATAATCTCGTAAAATTGCAGATCAGTAGCCTTATAATCGTTAATTAATTTTTTTTAACACTAAATTAAGTATTTTGGTTTTGAAAAATATAATACGCTACATCTACTTGCAATAATATATATTTTTTTAATTTCCATTAGAACAAGAAAGAAGGACTATATAATTATAACTGAAAGTAAGTAATATATTAAGAAAAAATATGACTAATTTGATCCGTTTCTTTAATTCTGATAATTAAATGATAGGCCTATAAAAGCTACGTTTATTTAGCCCATATCAATCATCAATTTATATAAGAATATAGTATTATTATCTAATTATGCGCCAAACAAGAATTGTCTAAACAAGATGTTACAAACTCCTACTAGCTTAAGAAAAAGTACAATTTTAATATTAACAAGTAGGCTCTCACGATACAATTACACACAAAAGTAAATGAACATAAGGGTTCTTTTACTTTCGTGTTCACACACGCAAAAGGCTAACGTTACGCCGATTAATTTAGAAACAGACTTTCTAAAATAATCGGCATTAGGTTAGCTTTATGCAAATTGTCTATTTAATAAAAAAACATCCTATTTCGTTCTTGTAGAGACAGTTTTCAGTAGAATTCATGAACTTAAAAATCTTAAGTACGTGCTCGTTGAAATCTTTCATATGAAGTTTGTTTTGTTTAATTCAAACCCGTTGAATAATTTTTACATAAATAGTATATTTATCCACAAAATCCATAAAAAAAGATACCGACTTCATTCGTGGCAAAACCGTAATCATTTTGATTTAAAAACCAAATTGCTGAACTAATTTTGATGAAATCTTTATAGGACCTAGGTATATAAAAAAAATCCAAATCAGTTTATAGAAGACGGAGTTATAAGATAACAAATATAAAAAATAAACAACGGTTGAAAAGAAACAAACATCTATCCATTCAAAGAGCCTCACAAACTTTCGCATTTATTTATTTATTAATAGTAATAGGATTAAGTTTCCGATTTCAATAAATTTTATTTTCGTTGCCATAATATAATATATTTTATGAATAAATTTTTAAAATATTTGAGTCATTACAACTGATTTATCAACTATCGCCATTTGTTATTATATCAACATTCATTATAAAGATTACTAGCTGTATCTCGCGACTTTATCCGCCTGAATCAGTACATTCTATAATATATCCTGTGCTAAGTTAGCATATATTTGCCTGTGTACCAAATTTCATTTAAATTTGTTTAGTAGTTTTTGCGTAAAAGAGTATCAAATATATATCCATCTAACCATCCATGCATTCATAAAAAGAAGTGTAAATTTTTAATTTGGTAGACATTGTACCTGGTAAATTATGGATATAATATAAATATAATTGAACGATGTCTATACATAATAGATTTTAGAAAAGAAAAACAATATGAGAGATCTGCAAAAGAACAATAGAAGTTAATAAAATAATTTATGACTATCTATAAGTTTGCTCCGATATTATGCAAAAACTACCGCTCTAAATTGAATGCAATTTTCACAGTTGTATTCCTGAAGATTTAACTTAAAATCTGGTGTATGTTATATCGTTATTTCGTTAATAATATCTGCGAGGTGTATACTATTTAAAACTGGTTACAAACAAGCATACTCGTACAGTCTGTCTAATATAGTAAACGGTCATTGTAGCCTATGGACGCTTGCAACAACTAGGGGTGTCACGTGCGCGTTGCCGACCCTGAAGAAACCTTAATAATACCCTTTTTGAAGAACCCTATACTTTAATCTCTACATACATATATATTTACCTCCTTCATAGAGTGTCACAGGGTTGCAGCCACATGCATTATCGACTATCCGTGACACGTCCTATTCGAGGTCATCGCTCCATCTAGGCCTAATGAAATCATTACTATGTTGCCCATAGATTTTAATAATCAACGACTAGTTACAAAAAACTATTAGCATACTAGGAATTTCCATCCGTCTGTATACGCCATCTTCTAATACATACGAAAACCTCACCCATAGAATTTTGCTTATGCTTAACCATAACATATATAATACTTAAATTTAATGGTTATTGAACACAATGCTTATTAGTTGATTATATTCGTAGTTACTCAACATTTATAAGTGAGGATTTAAAAATATTATTTTGTGGGACTCGTTAATCCCATTATTAGGAGCTAGTATAAACATTTGTTATTATGAAATAAAAAAAAACCTATTTATTTCAACTGACCGTTAATCAAATCTAATATTTTTTACATCTGCAGTAATAAAGACTAACAACATTATATTTAACTTTTAAAAATCTTATATACTTATCCACACATACTTATATATATCGTCATTTACGTATATTTTTATATAGTTATAAAAATTTATGGATACTATTTTTAGTTTTCACATTTTCCAACATTACAATTATTTGGATTCAGCAATTATGAAAACTCCCAAATGGTAATATTTTACTTAGTATAAATTTATTTCTTGGGATATTTGAGAGTATGACCAGAAAGAGCTATGAGCGGATAAATATAAATATAGTTATGTGCCCTTTTTCTAAATAAAAGGTATACTAAATATAATATATTGCAATATATTACTGTTTTTATAATCTTAATGTATAACTTAAGAGATTAACAAAAATCTTTACGCTTAAAAACTGGCGTTCATATAATCTAAGAGAACAAAATATAATAAAATTTAAAAAGTAACTTACACCACTTTCTGAGGAATGCGCTTGTGAGTTTAGCGCACAATTTATCCCGGCCCTGCATATTGGAACTGTCAAAATTCACGTAAAAATAAACACAACTACACACGACTTATAACATCACAAACACAACACGCAACACTAATACGTATCCATTAAAAAAAAAAAAGAATTGGTTCGCGACAGCACAGGCGCTCTCTCCGCGGTGTTCGCTCGTCAACTGGATACGATGCGCTTGGCGAATTCAAATCATGCGCGCGCGCACCTGCAACGGAAAAAAAATATTATTCCAACATAAATCGATTTGAATTTTATAAACGATCGTTGATATCAGCCAGTTCGTGGAACAATTATATTGTGTTTTATCATTAATAAATACTTAGATATAATCTTGGCAATATTCACGAAGGACTGACATTAGCATCCTCAAATGTTTCTTTTTGTAGTCTCTCGATTGTTATATCTCAGCATGTTGCCATTGTACATTAAAACTTTTAACATAAAAATAAAATGACCAACAATTTTAATTTATTTGCTTATAACTGTGTAAGCAAGAAAATGGCGGACATTATGTTCTATACACGCATAATTAATATTCCGTATAAGTCCAAATTTTTCAACATTTCTGTTACCTAGCAACTTACACTTATATCATCTGTGATTTTAGTTGATATTGCATACCTATTCTTTCGCGAAAAAGCCACTTGACTAAAACAAGTCATTACGACAATTTAGATTGCATTTAAAAAGATCTTATCTATCTACGACACTTATTTAAATGGCATATGATGACATTTTTTTTCGACTGAACGTTTAATATTAATTTTTTGTTTTTGTCTATACATTCCTCCTTATAAGGATCATCATTCTACATTTCATGCAAACCAATCCTTTTAAGGCGCGAAAGATATGATGGTGTAACGTACAAACAGAGCGACAGACGGTCATATAGATAGACGTAACGAGGTCATAAGTTTCGTTTTTGCTATTTAAGATTAACAAATTGGAAGTGGATGCATTAGATGATCGCATCTACAAGCAATTTTAAAGAAGATTGAATATATATAAAATATTAATTTTATTATTACCATTTTTTAATCCTCACTTGCTTCTATTTTCCTATGATCACGTACAGTACACTAATTGGTCGCTGTCGGTCAATGGAGTTGAGCAATTTGCTGCGTCGTGTTCTTTGCGTGAGGTATTTGTATTTTGTATTTTGAGGTATTGTATATCAGATATGATAATAAGATATCTATCTATCTACCTGCTTTTAAAGTTACTCAAATTTTAAAATATCCATATTTGTATATGACGAGCTTGCGGGATATTCTGTAATAGACTAATGGTGCAAGTAACTTGTGTTTGCGTACAACAACAGCAATAATAAGAATGAGTACAAGGACGCAAAGGTTCAATTATAACTTAGATTATCAAAATTATACTTCGAGGTTGCATAGTACCGAGTTGCGAAAGTAGATTTTTGATGCCCAAGGTAGTCGCCCCACCATCGATGACATTAATCACTGACCCTTATTCTTTATTTTTATACGAAGGGAGACGCTATATTTATGTAAATCTAATATAAAAAGCTATGCCCTGCAAATTCACTTGCATAAAGCATTGTATGAAGAATCCTATATTTTAATTTATAATATAACTAATTTGTTACCTAAATTTAATTTAAATCCATTCACTAGTTTTTGCTTTAAAGAGCAACATATATCTATCCATTCTTACAGTTTCAATAACATTAAACTTCCATTAAACACTTACAATAGTCATAGAATATGCATTTTTCATCTATTTAATCTAAGTAGAAATACAAAACAAATTAACTCCGTCCTAGTTTCTACTAATAGAGAACATTTTCAATCCATTTAACACGAACAATACGAGTATTTAAAAAAAAAATTATTAATTTATGTTCAACTTACTTCTTAAAGTTTTCGATAAGAAATAATTTTCATTATAATTAGTGAAATAAATTTAAACAGGAACTTTTAAGCTGCAGAGAAAATTAAAAAAATATGATGTAACTAAATATTCCACGTTAAATCACAGGTAACCGCTAATATTATTATGAAAATGCAATATTTTAATTGCACCAATAAACTAGAAAGATAGCAATAATCCTTGACATTAGCCGGTTACTGTGGACTTTGGTACAGCGATTACGTGCAGCAACTGGTCGTAAGTATGTCGTTACTAGTCGTTTATGAAATACGTTAGCTACCTAGAGGGGGTTGAGGGGAACAGCGACAAGGACATATATAATGTTTCATATATGTCGAGTAAAAACAAGGACTTTAGACAAAACAAAAGCTGTATTTATTTCGAATATTATGACCTGTACAACGTGAAATAGCAAACAAGTTTACGAGTAAGTGGCCCATAGAGACCTTACAGAAAATAATACAGTTGTCAACAAGACTCAACAACACACTTGTTAAACATCTGAAATTCACTACACAAATTATTATTTTTGTCAAAAACTTAATACCCTATTTCCAGCAAATCACATTTATATTTCTCGAAATGTATTTTGATGGAAACAGTTGTTGTTGTAATGTCAGAAATTTTTCTATTATGTATTTATTGACTCATGTTTCTAGTCACTAGCTATATCCCGCGACTTTAACTGGGCGAATAACTAAGCACATAAAGTATCTTATATGATAAGTTACGATATAACCTTATCGTGTACTAAATTTTGTTCAAATTCGTTTAGTAGTTTTTATGTGAAAGAATAATATCCGTTCATCCATCCATTCATATTTACAAAGTATCGTAATTATAATATTGATAATAAAGTATGAATGTGTCTCCACTCCTTTTCATCCCTAGGATATCGTAAAAGTCAACCTCCACGCATTCTTCTCTGGAAACCCATCGTGATTGATTGCAGAATTCGTCTCGATGAGCCAACTTATCTGCATCCTCACCTATTGTCATTCACTGGTATCCCACCAGTGTATGCCCATAGCACAGGCGAAGTTACCATTCTATTTTTATCCTATAAAAAAAATTTTATAGGTTGCGATCATAAGCACCAGTAATGAGTTATTACGTTTACTTTAATTGCAAAGACGACCTCGGTGGTGCAGCGTTGTAATACGTTGCGCCACCCTTCGACGGTAGTAAGTTCGATCCCCACACAATACAGTCATTAGTATTCAAGAGTGTATCGTTTGTGTAGCCTAAGTATTTACAAAAAAGAACATACACAAGTATGTTCTAAACTTTTTTTTTAATACGCTACCTTGAACATCATGCTCTTTTGAAAAAAAACATAGAGTAACTAGAGAAATACTTAAATCAAGCGATATAACACTTTAATATCATCTGAGCCTCAGTACGCAGTAGTGGTAATGCATGAACACTAGTGAAGTGCCACAGATGACATATACAGTAATATATTAATGATTTGTGATGACTATAGTCATTACAATCATTAACATATTACTGTACTGTATTGTACTGTAATACCCACTGAGTGTATACTCTCAGTGGGTATTACAGTACAGTACAGTGGGTATTATTGTGTAGATTCAGCATAGAAGGACCCACAGCTTTCTTTCTCGTGGGTGTCGAATAAGGGAGCTTAATGGTCGAGAAATAGGCAGAAGCGTCCCTTTTAAAACATCATTATAGCCTAATTGCTGTTGGCAACCTACCTACCAAGCGTGGCAACTACTAGCAATGCTCCCTTATAAGAGAGGCCTATGTTCAACAGTGGATAATTAACTGCTGATATGATGATGGTGACTATTTTTCAATAGAAAGATCTCAGCTTTTTATTCCCGGTAATATAAAAAGATGCAGCTGAGAATAGAACCTAAAACTGTCTTAAGAATACCTTCGATCAAATGACATATGCAATTAGCTATGTAGTCATTTTAGTCCGATCATTAGACGTCATTATGTTATAACGTCATTAAATACTCACTTAGTTTACAATAACTAACAGTGATTAAATGCAATTGTAATGATGTTGTTATTAAACTTCGAATTATCACGCAAAATAAAAGAAAATGGCCAATAGTGTATTTTTTTGCATTTCCGTTTTGAGACTTTATTAAACGTCGAAGTTTGTAAATTTTTTTACATGTTTATACTATTAGGGTTTTTAAATAATTTAATCGAAAATCTTAAAATTCGACCTTTTAATGTTTTGGATTGATCTTTTTAAAGGTAGATAAATCTAAAGATCGTAATGTAAAGATGAACAGAGTGAAATCGATCTATTAGAATTCTCATTTCGCAATGTAGTTTCTCTTTTTTCAACCGATGCGACTTCAAAAAGGCGGTTCTCATGTAAGTCATTTTTTTGTTTGTTTCCTCATAACTACATACATCGATTTGGAAAATCTTTTTTTAATAGAAAGAATACACTTACACATTTCTGTATAGATGTCACATAAATTTTATCAAAATTGGTTCAGTACTCTAGCTAAAAGCTAGAGTACTGAACTGAATTGGTAATCGGTTTTGACCGACAATTTTTATTACAGATCAAACTGAGAATTTCCATTTCGTATTAACTCTAATACTAACTATTTTTATCCAAAATCACAAACCCTAATTTAGATTATAGTTACTCAACCGTCCTTTAAAAGAATACGAGTATTTAAGCGCGTTTAAGTCGAGATAGCCGATCCTTGATTTCCCTATCCTCCAATTATTGTTTCATGACATGTAATTGAAAGACAACTGACTTTAGTTGATACGATATTTTACTTTTAGCTTTTATTCTGCGATGTTTGTTCTTTTATTTTCTTTCTGTTGGACGTACATGTTGTTTTCGTGCAAAAAGCTCCGTACCTCTTTTAATACATATTCATATAAGACGTTGAGAATTCTAGAATAATTCAAACCAGAAACAGGCTGTTAGTCAACAAATTCATTAGTCAACACCCAGCGAGACGGTTGACTTTACATAAACAGATTTACGTAATATTTATGTGAAAGTATATACACAATTATCTAAGCCATGTTTTGACATGCAAAACACGTCATTATTGCTATAATTATAAGCACTACGCAGTCAGATAAGATCAAGACTCATTACTAGTCTATATTCAAGACATCGAGGATTATAAAGTCCTCTCCGTCTCAGATATACTTATACAAGAGGATTCGAACCAAGGAATCGTTAATTTGCAAATTTTATACTTTTTAAAATTAATACTGATAATAGAATATGCATTATTCTATTATTATATAAAGCTACTAGACTATAATTTTAGACTAGTTTTCAAGATT